AAAATGAAGACGACCTTGATTGAAGAAAAACATCTTCACTGAAATTTTTTATATAGCAATCTGTAGCTGATCAAAAACTGATTAACTTTTGTCGGAAACATTTGTTTGTCGGACTGTCGGAAGTGCTCGAAAAAGAACGTGGCGATAGTGGATTTGAATTTGTGTATTTCAACAAATTTAATTGTACTAGGGTATTTAAGATACAACAGAGTAGGGGTGCGCGTGTTTGCGGGCTCCGGGCCGGCTTGAACATTGATCGAAATGGCTCGGATCGGGTTGGGACCAAAAACTTTCGGGTACTCAAAGTTTATATCGGACTCCGAGAACTTTCAGGAACCCGAGATTCTAACATCGAATCGGGGTGACACATTTAGACATTCATTATTAGCGTGTGGTTATCGGCCACAAGTATTTTCTTCAAGCCAACGTAAAGTGGGATGAATAATTATAGACTCAAAGTAACTTCTACATTTTTTGTGATATTTAAACAAAAAGTTAACAAAACACCGTATTTGTATATTTCTATATTACAACTAATAGATAACAGAAATAAACAAATATAGCTTTCTTTTTGGCTTTCGTTTAAATATAAGCACCAATGTAGGACTTACTTTGAGATTATAATTATTTACAGCACTGTAGGTGCAAACACCCTATACGGGGCATCTCAAAATTACGTTACTTCCGGGAAGGAAGAGGTTCCTGAGATCATTTGAAGTAACTTTTTCCTTAGCGAAAATGCAATCCGCGGCTTTGTTTAGGAGTTATTAACGAAAAACATTGACCAATGAAAGGTGAGATCAGCTGACGCGAAGCGGTCGAGTCAATGAGCGGTCGGAGTCCAGTTCTACTGATTGGTTCGGCTGCCTTGCGCCAGCTAATCTCATCTCTCATTGGTCAGTGTTTTTCGTTAATAACTCGTAAACAAAGCCGCGGATTGCATTTGCGTTAAGGAAAAAGTTATTTTAAATAACCTCAGGAACCCCTCACTTTCCGGAAATAATATAATGTTAGGATTAAATATTAAATATAAGGATTAAATATAACCTTGTATATTTAAAAAGGGTTTAACAAAAAACATCATATTTGTACATTTTTATATTAGAGATAATAGAAAATAGAAATATACAAATACGATATTTTGTTAAGTTTTCGTTTAGATATCAGTAACAATATAAAAGTTACTTTGTGTTTATAATTATGCACACCACCGTATAATAGAGGAACATATTGAAATCTATCTCTCACTTCTTTAAATGGTTTGAGGGCAGTTATCATTGAATCTATCAGCCTTCATTCATGGAGATTAACCTTTTGCACTCGAGTGGTAACCCTGAGGCACCACTAAAATTGTTCATTCACGCTTCAAGATAATTTTCATATTAACAAAGTTTAAATTTAAAAAATTGTTAAAAGTTTAACTGTTATACGACTCACCGCAAGACTCGATTTCGTATGCATAAAATGCACTTTGCCATATAAAATGGAGATACTATAAATCAGAAAAATTATTTTAGATTTACGGTTAAAATAGCTTCGAGCGCAAAGAGTTAAAATTTGGTGGCATGCAATAGCCAGATATTGGAGATCGCAAGAATATATCTGACTTTGTTGATGCTTTTTACATATGAGCTGTCATAGTATGACGTAAGAAACCTGATTAAAAAACAATGAAATAACACGATGTTTACCTATGTTTCAAAAAAGTTATTAGATTTATAAACACTCCGCAATCCGCTTTTAGGATTTTGAGTAATTAAAAATTCTTGGGACCCGATTTGTCGACACGAGTCCGAAATGTCGCATACCCGCACACCCTGACAATAGAGTTAACCCTTTGCACACAAAGTCATCTTAATTGTAAATCTAATTAATTTTTCTGATCTTCCATTTTATATGACAAAGTGCATATTATGCACATGAAATTTAGTCTTGTGACTCGTACAGCAGTTAGACTATTAACAATTTTTTATATCTAAACTTTGATAATAAAAAAATTATCTTGGAACGTTAAAATACCATCTCCTATGATAAATTTTAACTTCCTATGGTTGGTTTTTGTCATTTAACGCGTTAACACTTCGTTGAAAATGAATTTTTACGCTGATTCATCATAATTTCCTAATTTCGTGAAAAATTCGCAAAAGAAGAAAAATGTTGACAAAATAATTGATGCCGTACACCTTAATTTGAAAATTTTTATTTTATCGTATAAAACACTTGAAATTTATGAAATTTCCGAAGCTGTTGACGTGGCCATCAAAGTGTTAAGGAACAAATTACCGTGACGCGTCCCGAGTGCGTACAATCTGAAACTTCGTTTTGAAAGGGGTTGCGACAGCGCCTGTTCCCAATGAAAGCGCGAATCAAAGGAAGCTGTTCGAAGTCGTCTAGAGTCGCCGGCCGATAGATCCGCTGGAAATGGACAATTTCGGATACGTTCCGGTGATTCTATTAGCCTGGCTCGATACCGCGGGCAGCATCCATTACGCTCGATCATCGGGGTTGCTAGGGTAATTGAAACGGATGGAAGGAGCGGCCGTTACGGCCGGATTAATCCCCGATATCCGGAACGCGTCTGTACGGACTTGAATCGCGAGAATTAACTCCTATTCGATCCGTCTTAACGCCGCGACGCTATGCGACGCGATGACAACGCGTTGGCGACATAATCGCGTAACAAGATCCTTCGGTCGGTGAAACGCGCGCGGATAAGCTGCGTTAGGCCTTCCCTATCCTTTAATTCGACTGATTCAGACGACCCATTTGATTTATTTAAGTCATTTGATTTATTTGAATCGTTCGTTTCGTTCGATTACTTTCGTTTATTTGTATTGGATTTCACCGACTATATGCACCGACTAGATGCCTTTTTCCGGGGCTTGCACTTTATTGCACTCCCACTGACTACATGGAACTCCAGTCCTTTATAGTTCTTTTATGTCATCGTTGTTTTTCTCATAAAGATATGTTTGCCCAGATTTTCTTTACAGTTGCAGTAAATCCACTTCAATTGCCCCACGGATTGTAAACAAAAATGAACAATTTGGGCAGGGGAGATTGGCATCTATAAAAGCAAGCCGCAAGACTCGAACAATCGTATCTCCTCTTCCCAAATTGTCCATTTTCGTTTATAAACTGAAGAACAATTGGGTAGAATTTATATTATAAATATATAAATAATATATATAAATAATAATATAATAAATATATAATATATATATATAATATCTATAATATATATTTCAAAATAATATATATATATATATAAATAAATATATAAAGTATATACAGTGGCCCAAAAAAGTGTTCGTACGCCTTTTGAAACGCAATAACCTTTTTTTGAAACTGGACTAAGGGACTTGAATTTTTTTCAGGTGATAGCGGGACTAGTCTACTAAACGATGACCGAAATGCTTTTTTTAAATTTTGCTATTACTTGGAATGACAAAAGAATATAAAAGAACTCACGTTTTTTAACTTTTTCATCTGAGCCTATAACGAAAATTTAAAAATGCCTCTCGTAGATCTCGGTATCTTACATGTATGCTGAAAATTTTATTGAAATCAGTTGACGTTGTTATGAGCTACAAACAGTTAAAAATAGCGGTAATCGAAATTTTCGACCCATAACAACAAGAAATCTTGAGTTTTATCACGATTTTGACTAAAAATTGGAAGAAATCTACAGTTGCAGATTAAAGTTACAGTTAAAAAACGAGAGTTTTTAAATTTTTTTGTCATTTCAAGTAATAACAAAATTTAAAAAAAGCATTTTGGTCATCGTTAAGTAGACTAATCCCTGTATCACCTAAAAAAATTCAAGTTACTTAGTCCAGTTTCAAAAAAGTTATTGCGTTTTAAAAGATGTACGAAGATTTTTGTGGTCCACTGTACATATATCACACTAGGATACACAAATTATCATTGTGACAGATCTGTTCTGGATAAACATCTATTACTTATCAAACAATATTATTGTTACTGTTATTATTTATTGATAAACGGGTTGAAAGCCCTTTAAATACGCAATAGTTTACACATAGAAGTAGCACATTATACGGATTATGTGACTGCACTGGTGTTACTGTTATGCAATTGACGTTTAAAGGTTTCTGGGGAACCGGTAAAAGAATCGATGTTGCCATCTAGTATGCGTGAAACTGATATTATTCCAGCAATTTGATTCACTCGAATCATTTAATTTAGTCGATTCATTCGATTCATTCGAATTCATTTGAATTTATTCGATTCATTCGAAGTCATTTGAATTAATTCGATTCATACGAATTCATTTGAATTCATTCGTTACATTTGAATTCATTCGTTTCATTCGAATTCATTCGTTTCATTCGAATTGATTCGTTTCATTCGAATTGATTCGATTCATCCGAATTGATTCGATTCATCCGAATTGATTCGATTCATCTGAAGTCATTCGATTCATACGAAATTATTCGATTCATACGAAATTATTCGATTTATCCGGATTTATTCGGATTCATTCGATTCACTCGATTCATTCGATTCAGTCGAATTCATTCGAATTTATTCGATTCATTCGAATTCATTCGATTCATTTGAATTTATTCGATTCATTCGAATTCATGTGAATTCACTCGTTTCATTCGAATTCATTTGAATTCATTCGTTTCATTTGTTTCATTCAATTCATTCGAATTTATTCGATTCATTTGAATTTATTCGATTCATTCGAATTCATTTGAATTCACTCGTTTCATTCGAATTCATTTGAATTCATTCGTTTCATTTGTTTCATTCAATTCATTCGAATTCATTCGATTCATCCAAAGTCATTCGATTCTTTCGAATTCATTCGATTCATCCAAAGACATTCGATTCTTTCGAATTCATTCCAATTTATTCCAATTCATTTGATTCATTCGTTTAATTTAATGCAGTTGATTCAGCTGATACAGCTGAATTCGACGAATTTGACAAATTCGATGAATTAGATACATTTGATTCGCAGTACTTACGTCGCTGACACCCTCGGGACTGGCGATCGGCGCGGTGGTGCTGGGCTGTGCAACGTTTGCGGTCGCTGCAGACGTTGCACCATTGTTGCTCCCAGCTGGCGGGTGAGGGAGGGGGAGAGGCGGCGGGGGCGTGCCAGTCCTTCCAGGACCCCAAGATTCCATCATCGTGGGTGAACCACATGTTAGCGGGCTGGAAAATATAGAAAGACGGGTTCCATTAGACGGCAGAGCGAGGCCGGCCGTGGCCGATCGACCAACTACGAACGAAACTGGGAACCGCCTTCTCCGATATATCGAGAACCACCTTCCCCAACCTAGGACGCTGGCGTCCCTCGACATCCGGTAAGGAAAGCAGTGTTTCGTTCATCCGGTGATCGAAGCTAACGTTGAGCAGTACAAAGCACGAGCCGATGTCGGTGAAAATAGAAATCTGCACGGGCATCCGTAGTCCGGCGATCAAAATAATTCATTCCTCGCGGGGGCCGATCGCGATGCAAGTTTCATCCGACGGGGAAGAAGAAATTGTGCTTTTACGAGGCTTTAGAATCCGAAATCGCTGGAATCCAGAAGCGTACAGTCTGGCCAATTCGCCGCACGTATACCCCGTCGATCGATCCGGCCTCGTAAAAGATCAACGTTCATCTCGCCGACGCGACGGACGAAACGAGAGAAGTCCGCAAAAAGTTCCGCGAGATTCCTCGTTCGACGTGCCTTTATTCGATAAACGTTGCAGCCGCGACGACCGCGATTTCCTATCGTCGGAACGAACGCGTGTTCATCGACGAGGCGTCTCCGTCGACGATCGAGGCCAACGCGAAACCAGCGACGCCTTAATCTCGAAAATACTCGGTTAGAGTGTTCGGGAGCACGATGAATCGTGGGAATCCGAAGATTATGGCAATGGTCGATACGGAGCGGAGGTCAGACTTCGGAGTGAAGTGTGTCAGTGTTAGGTCAGACTTGTCAATCGATAGAGAAGCTGACGAGCGTCGGCGTTGCTTGTCCCGCGTCGAGACGCGACACACGGAAACGCGGTAACCCTTACCCCGTGGTAACGCGAGCGAGTAACCCTTAACCCGAACGGGTTCGGCTTTGTTTTGTAAACCTCGAGGGTCGGCTGCCACCCCCGCTGGCTCGTGTTTTATGGTTCAAAGGTCGAGGAGTTCGGCCCGTTTCCGGGGCGCGCGTGAGAAATGGTCCCGAAGATCTGCTTGTTTATCGCGAAATTTCGAACTTCCTGTTTTTCCGGCGGGACTTCCTCTCTCTCTCTCTCTCTCTCTCTCTCTCTCTCTCTCTGTTCTTCCGCATCCTTTGGCCGCCCCTTTCGCGGAGATTTCAATACCTTCGCCAACTTCCGGAGACTCGAACGGCCCTCCTTCCAGGAGAGCTCGCGAGACGCCCCGTAAATTCGCGACGATCGCCGGACATTTTCCGATAGATTACGGAGCACGCTCGCGCCGATGACGCAGGCGATTCCAAGATCGTCCGTGCCGCGGAAAATAGAGGCAACAAAAATGCCGGCTGTTCATACATCGATAGGCATTTTCTCGCAAGAACGGCGACCGTTTGCCGCAACATTTGCCGCCGAGCCGCGAACGCGCTAACGAAAGGTGTCCACGGTAATTGGCCAGAAAAAAGCTACCCTCTGTGCAGTCGACCGGCGACACAACCACTGTTCCGCACGGTCCCGGATTTGTAATTGCGAGCTCGCAGTCAGGGATTCGTGTACATTACGCGGAAAAATTGCCCGGAATTTGTGGAAAGGAAAACACGAATTAATCATTTGTTTGTCAAAATTGATTCTGGCGGAGGACGCGACGCTTCCCATTGAGGAACTAATCAATCAGCCGGCGGAAAGAAGACTCGAGGAGAAATTGGCCCAAGTACTTGGCCAAGTAAGGTTACTTGCCAAGAAAAACTCGATCGTTTATTTGTGAAACAAGTCGCTTTTCGCGGTCTCTTTTCGTGTTCTGTTTACCGCGTGCAAGCGATCACTTTAAGAAAAACGCCGTTGGCCCTTACTTTGGAACGCCTAAAGAATATCCAACAATTTTTGTGACCAAATGTGATACATTATAAAAATGTTACATCAAATCAATACGCAAACTATTTATTTATTTATCAAAATTTATTTTGTCGCCTTTCAAAAAACGTCCCTTTTGAAATTTTCTCAAACTCTAAAGAAACCATTGGGTTGGCAACTAAGTAATTGCCGATTTGTTCAATGAAATAAAAATTTTTTTTTTACTTGGAATGAAGTTTAATCTGTAATGTATTTTCCATTTTGTTCGATGACCTTTTGCCATCTCTCTGACAACTTGAAAATTCCACGCTCGTAGAAAGTCTGATCCTTTTCGGCCAAAAACTGAGTTAAGTGAGATTTTACAGCGTCATTGTCATTAAAAGTTTTAACACTAAGGGAGTTGTCCAGGGATCGAAATAAGTGGTAATCCGATGGCGCGAGATCAGGCCTATATAGTGGGTGTAACATCAATTCCCAACCAATATCCATCAATTTTTGTCGAGTGGACAAAGACTATGCGGCCTAGCATTGTCCTGCTGGAAAATGACACCTTTACGATTGACCAATTCTGGTCGCTTTTCTTTGACCGCTACATTCAATTTGTCCAGTTGCTAACATTCACGGATAATAAAAAATAACATAATAATAATAATTATTATTTTATAATATAACATTTACGGATATCATAAAAATGGGAGTGAGAGACATCTATAATTGAAATCGGCAATTACTTAGTTGCCAACCCAAATAACTTTCAGCTCCTTCGAAAAGTGGTAATTTGAATGTACGAAATAAGAAAAAATCACACAGGACTATATCTGGTGAATACGGCGTTTAATCGATGAAGCTTGTTGAGTTTTTGACCAAAATCTCGCGTTTCAAGATCGAAGTGTACGACGGAGCATTATCGTGGTGCAAAACCCAAGAGAATCGTAAGAATCGTACCTCCTCTTCCCAAATTATCCATTTTCGGGAACAAGCTGAGGGACAATTATAGAGAATTTACTGTATTACCGATACCGAAATACAGTAATTTCTCCCTAACTCGCGCTCAGATTGCGCACAGAAATTGACAATTTGGGAAGAGGAGATACGATTATTTAAGCCTCGCGACACGCTTTTATAGTTTTCTCTGCCCAAATCTGCTCTATTTCCGGCGATTATTTTCACGCAAATGCCTCACAAGACTCAATTCGTATTCTTTGTTGTCCGTTTCTCCAGCTGGAAGAAATTTCTACCGAACAACGCAACGGTAATCGAAGAAATCTGTGAGTATGATTTTGACTTTTATGCGAGCTTGAAGCAATTTTTTGATTTACGTTCGTTTCCGAAGCGATATTCCGAAGATTGTTGGCTTCTTGGTATGTCGTGTTCATAAATCCGTGTTTCATCACCATTTATGATGCGCTTCATGAACGTGGACTCGCTAGAAATCGATACAAGAAATGTCGTTATGTTGTGGTTTGATCGTGACGTGGTTGCGCTTTGATTTTGATATCGGCGTTGCGCCAAAATGTTATAACTAGTTTACGGATTTTTATGCAAAACAGAGATTGTCTACATTAATTATAAGATACAAAAGCCGCGTAGGAATTTTTTTCCTTCTTTAGTTATTTCATTGAACTGAAAATAAAATAGCAATACTTTGAAATTCTTTACGTGTTTTTGCTGTTTTGTATTCGGTGTACCTATTTTTAACGCAAATGCATAAAATCCGCACTGCGGATATAGCACTGAAACGGATTATAGTAGATTCTCCCCAATTGACCGTCAGCTTCGAAACAAAAATGGAAAATTTGGGAAGTGGAGATGCGATTATTCAAGTCGCGTTTTTATTTCCCGACTCGTTTTTATAATTGTTGACAATCGGTTACTATAAAAACGATTCGCAAGGCTGAATACACGTATCTTCTTTTCCCAAATTATCCATTTTCTGGAACAAGCTGAGGGACAATTAGGGAGAATTTACTGTATTACCGATACCGAAATACAGTAATTTCTCCCTAATTCGCGCTCAGATTGCGCACAAAAATTGACAATTTGAGAAGAGGCGATACGTTTATTCGAGCTTTGCGACTCGTCTTTATAATTTACTTTATTATTTCTATAATTTACTATATTACCGATACCGAAATACAGCAGTTTCTCCCTAATTCCCGCTCAGATTGTGCACAAAAATTGACATTTTGAGAAGAGGAGATGCGATTATTTAAGTCTCACGACTCGTTTTTATAATTGTTGACAATCGGTAACTATTTATAAAAACGAGTCGCAAGGCTCGAATAATAGTATATTCTCTTCCCAATTTGTCCCCGAATTAGGCAGAAATCACTGTACGTATTGGCATTATTTCGGTATTCTTATGAAAATAATAATAATAATAATAAGATTCTAAATTTATTTACACTTTATCTTCACTTTTATAGTGACTACAGTTACGCGACTTTCTATAGTCCCGTGCGTTTGAAATTCGAGACATCATTAGCGAACTTACCGAAGCAGTGATTCGTGTAATATTCAATTTATTTTTGCTTGCAATTTGTCAACATTGTGTAAATGTCATTCCAATTAACGCGGCGACAGTGTGGTATCGAAATGTGACATTGGTAGGTATGGTGGGGTATTACGTACTCCAATCTATTTCTTTAACAAAGTGTTTACAAAATAATTTTAACAATGAAATTTTTAATTTAAATGATACATTTGTCAATGATGTTGTAAAGAATACAAGGCTATGTGTATTGATAATTTAAAAATTGGTAAGCTATGTCAGAGCCGCCACACCGATGCAAAGTTAATTTTAGTCATTAGACAGAAGATTTAAAAAAAAATGTATTAAATAAGCGCAAATAAGGAAAATACTGATAATTATTTGTCTTTATATTGTATATGTGTATCGGTTTCGTCATCACTTTGCCACCATTATAACAATTCCTGCAGAATCTACTTTTTACCGGACTGTCTTCCGTGTCAATTCAATTCTCGTATTCTCGTTTCAATTTTATTTCGCGAACGTAAAGTTCGGCCGTTTGCTTCTGTAATTAAATTTATTTCATTTACTCCTCGTCGTTTTGTAAAATTCTCTGTGTTCGTTATGAAATCGTTATCCATCGAGTCAATCGTTCGGTGACCCGTTGCGATATAAATTGTAATAAAAATGGAGAAAC